TATAACTCTTACAATTTCAACTCTTTTCAAGTAACATCCTGTGATTTCTTTATTCTTGTTCTCGATAAAAAACCCTGGTCCGGCAATTTTTTCTTTCACAAACATTAATTTCAAGTTCTAAAAGGCAAATTACTCTTTTGTCACTTCTGACTAGCATTAACAAGTTTGCCAGGCCAGCAATTTCACCATCTTTTGAATTTTTTGTCGGGTCCATTTGATACGCATAAATCTTTTCAACTATGAGATATTTCAAAGAGGTTTGGCCCAATCTACATGTCAACTTGAGCCCTAGGATAGGGTACTTCTTAAGCAAGTTGGGCCATGTGGATGTGGGCACAGCTTCAATTAATACAGAACAAATTGATTGACATGTTCTTAGGAGGAGAAATAAAAGAAGTTTCAGGAAATTATGAACTAGACACAACATTGGAATGGAATATATTTTAACCCGAACTGTTGCAGTAATGTAACAATGTTCGTTGAAATCTTATGAGTTAGGCAGGAGAGAGGAAGGATTATTTGTACCCTACATTCATAATTAATATGCCTGTCAGGCAAAAAAACAAAAAGGAGATGGAAAAGACTCCTGAGCTTATGCTTTTCAGAATTCATCAACTTTGTACCAAAGGTAAACTTTCCTGTCAAGCAGGATTGTGCTAGAAAACCAAGTTCAAGCTTAAAGCTTAGAAAGATCAGTTTTAGCCATGGTTTTTGATCAATATGGTAGATACCCATCTCAGCATTCTCTCACATTTAATGTCCTAAATACAAGAGGTTTGAAATAGGGATTGAATTTAAACAGGAAATAAAAGAGATTAAAGTCTAAGTACCGTATTAGGAAACCACGTACCTTGAAAGTTTCAATTAGTGGGAAAACATCCTAATCAAGTGTACATGAAAAACCTTAATGATACCCTTTTACATGCAAAGATTACTCTGGGGGACCATGTGGAAATTTGTTTCATTGTTTGCCTCCATGGATGCAATGAAATTAGAAAACCTTGATTAGATCAGATAATAATGGATTTCGAGTGCTTTTGCTTGCGGGACATTTTTCCATTGTAATTTAATGGAGACAGCGGGGGAGATTTAAGTTTGTTTTGGTTATTGATTTCAGACCAAGCAAACCGAATCACGAAGAACATGACCAACAAAATGATAAGTCTTTCCCAGTTGGACAATATTATAACTCAATTTAGTCTTGTCTGTACCTCTGAAACCTCTACCATCCAAGAAAATGAATACAAACGAGAAGCTCAGTGTGTTAAAATAATAATAAGTGAAAGGACTTAGCACGCTTAACGGTCACTGCATGGAATTTGGATTTTTCTATTCATGTCCATTTCTCAATGTCATTACTCTGAAATTTTTAAAATTCCCCACATTTTTCTGCATGTTTCTGGTTTTTTTTTTTTGACTGATTCAGGAGGTTTGTATTTGGTTGTTGGCCAGCAGCAACCCTCCTCATGCACAAGGGGGAAAAGCCAAAACCAAAACTGGAAAAAAAGGGGTGTGCCTGAAGGGTTTGATCCTGGAAAAACTTGAATTAGCAAAACAGGTAAGTCGGTACTTGCATCTGTTGCTTTCACTAACAAGCAAAACACGGCTTACATAAAATTGACAAATCAGGATAACAATTTAATTCCAGGCAACACAGATGATAACCCACCGAAAAAGGTTCAAAAAGTAATTGAGGCAGTGAGCCATCGTTTCATTTTCACCCCCACCCGCCGGTCACTTTCCCATCCCTTTCTGCTGCAGTGGGACCCTGAAATTTTGGGTCCTTGTCTTCTTCTTCTGCTTCTCCCTCCTACTTTTTTCAGCTTTTCCTCCATTGCCATGCCTCGCAACGATGGAAAATCAATCAACTTAAGATCCCCCACGTGGCATCATCAGGAGAGTCCGAAACTACCCTTTTTCAGCAGTACTCAACCTGGTTACAGACCAATATCCAAGCCCCCCGTCGTCGGGCCTCCCCTCCTGAGAGAAAAAAAAAATGCTATAAAAAACAACACCAGGTTTTTCCTTTTTAACTCTTTTTCCAGGGTGTACATCTCGGGGTCTGCAATTTAACGGCTATATTTTTCATTCTGCCACGTGACGAATCCAGGGCGAAAGCAATCCTCTCGCGTTTGGCGCGAAACAACCTTGTGGGACCGCATCGGTCGTTGTCTGCTTTCGGGGCATCTGGAACTGAGATTTGTCCATTTCGTTGACTGACCGAAAGTATTGAACTTTTTAAACTTACTTCACTCTCTCAAAAGACCCTCACTTTTCCCCCAAGGCCAGCATGAAAAGGAACAGTGGCAATTGGCAAAGGTGTAGAAAGGAAAGTAACCAACAAAAAAGCAAATGGAACAAGAATTAACTGATCAAAAGAAAAAATTTCACCCTAGTGTTACATTTTCGCCCCTGAAACTAAAAAAATGGTTAAAAGTTTTCATGAGACAGGAAAAGTAAAAGAAAGGTTCGGATTTTCGGGTTGTTTATGCCGGTGAAGGTTGAGAGGTGGGATCCGCTGAGGAGGGAATATCAGGGCCCACACGACAACCTTCAAGCATGAACACAATGTCGGACATGGTTGGTCGATCAAGAGGATCTGGAGCTGTGCAAAGTAAGCCAACTTTGACTCCTAGAAGGAATTCTTCCCATTCGGATGATTCAGGGTCAAGCTCAAGAAGACCTGGTTCAAGAAGTTCAGTGATTTGGCCCCTTTGAAGCTGCTTCTTGACCCATTTCACGATGTCTTCATCCTGTGTGAACATGACTGGTCTCTTTCCTGTGAGTAGTTCAAGCAGGACGATGCCAAAGCTGTAGACATCTGATTCTTTGGTGGCTTCCCCTGTTAGAACTGCTTCTGGGGATACATAACCCAATGTGCCAACTGAAGTTGAAGTGGAAGCTTCTGCTGGAGTTGCAAGCGTGAGACGATCCAAGCCGAAATCTGACAAATGTGCTTCAAAATCAGCATCAAATAGAACGTTTTGGGGCTTGACATCTCCATGGACCATGTTGGATGTGTGCAGAAAGGCTAAACCGCGGGCAATGCCAAGTGCAATTAGGTGGCGCATTGGCCAATTGAGTACGTGACCATCTTGGTGGGATGCCTCTTGGAGGAGTGTTGCAAGGTTGCCGTTAGGCATGTAATCATATACCAGGAGCCTTAAGTCAGGTGACCCTGCATAGTAGCCACGGAGAACTGTTAAGTTCCGGTGCTTCACTTTGCCTAGAAATTCAGCTTCTTTTCTAAACATGTTCTCATCAAGTGATCCATCTGGTAGGCGGCGAACAGAGAGCACCATTCCATCATTGTAACAAGCCTTGAAGACTAACCCATACCGGGTTCTGCTAAGCACATTCTCTTCAGCAAATTGCCTAGTTGCTTCAATTGTTTCAGCTAGTGTGATCTTGTTATTGAACATAACAAGCTTTGGCCCTCCATTATCTGTACTACCACGACCTCCACTTGCTCCAGAACTAGCCCTTGCAGGGCTCCGTTTCTTCTCCCCAGCGGCTTCTTTAAGCTTCTTACGCCATCTCAATAGGCTGAATACATAGAAGCAACAACAGAACGACAAGAGAAAAGCAGCACACACAACCGCCACAATCAAAAGGATCAACCTTTTCCTCCTGTTCTTTTCAGCTATATCCTCACACTTATGCAATGGCTTTCCACATAAGTCTCGATTATCTGCAAACGCAGATGGACTGTTAAATCTTGAACCCAGAGTAACTGGAATCTCTCCTGCTAAGTCGTTCCTTGAGACATTAAAGTAGACCAATCCAGAAAGAAGACTGAGATTAGCAGGAATCTCTCCACTCAAGTGATTAGAAGAAAGATCCAGCATTGTGAGATTTGATAACTTGGACAGAGAATCCGGTATGCTTCCAGAAAGCTGATTAGCATCTAGTAAAAAAGTGGTCAATGACAAGCATTTGGAGATTTCGTCTGGGATTTCTCCGGTTAAGTTGTTACCATCCAATTCTAGTACGTTTAACCTTGAAAGGCGAGAGAGATCAGCAGGAATGTGACCTATCAAAGAATTTGATCCGAGCTCAAGAACTTCAAGCTCAGTGCAGTTTCCAAGCTCTGGTGGGATCACTCCGGTTATGTGATTATTAGACAATGAAAGAACTACTAATGAACGAAGAAAGCCAAAATTTTCCGGTATATGACCAGAAAAAGAATTGGAACTGAGATTTACATAGCGCAAACTCATTAAACTACTAAACCCTTCAGGAACATCCCCGGAAAACATATTTTCTTGCAAAGCAATGACTTGCAGATTTGGTAAACCTGAGAGCTCAAATGGCAACTCAGCGGAGAGGTTCTGCTTGCTTAAATCAAGAGTAGTTAGCTTGAACAAATTGCCCAAACTTGCCGGCATCTTCCCTGAAAACCCATTAGCACTTAGATTCAAAACCGCAACCCTACTTAGGTTCCCAATACTTGCAGGAATCTCACCGGAAAACTTGTTCCCACTTAAGTCCAACGTACTCAAATTGCTCAATCCCATTATCTCCTCTGGCAAGCTTCCACTCAAGTTATTATGTCCCAAATTTAAGGTTTCAAGCGCAGTAAGATTACGAAGACTCCCCGGTACTGAACCTGAAAACAGATTTCCTCCAAGAGAGAGCACTTTCAAACCAGTCATACCACCTAAAAAACCAGGAATTTCACCAGAAAAACGATTTCCTTCAAGATCTAGAACATGCAATGAACCACATTGCTTAATCTCAACAGGAATCACCCCAGTGAAAGAATTATTGGCCATTTTCAGCTCCTCCAATCTAGACAAATTCCCAATCTGAACTGGAACCTCACCTGACAACAAATTCCCAGAAACATCCAACATTGTCAAAGTTGTCACACCCGTTAACCACAGGGGGAAACCCCCACCAATCTGATTCACAGAAAGATCC